CTTCCTTCCTCCCTCCCTCCCTCCCTCCCTCCCTCCCTTCCTTTCTTTCTTTCTCTCTCTTTCTCTTTCTTTCTTTCTTGACAGAGTTTTGCTCTTGTTGCCTAGGCTGGAGTGCAATGGCGTGATCTCGGATCACTGCAACCTCCACCTCCTGGGTTCAAGAAATTCTCCTGCCTCAGCCTCCCGAATAGCTGGGATTACAGGCATGCGCCACCACACCTGGCTAATTTTTTTGTATTCTTAGTACAGATGGGGTTTCACCACATTGGCCAAGCTGGTTTCAAACTCCTGACCTCATGATCCGCCCACCTCGGGCTCCCAAAGTACGGGGACTACAGGCATGAGCCACCAGGCCTGACCTATTCTTTTACTTCCTTAATAAACTTGCTTTCACTTTACACTATGGACTTGCTCCGAATTCTTGCACGAGGTCCAAGAGCTCTCTCTTGGGGTCTGGATAGAGACCCCTTTCCAGTAACACAGGCATGTGCCACCATGCCTAGCTTTTTGTTTTGTTTTGTTTTTTTTGAGATGGAGTCTTGCTCTGCCGCCCAGACTGGAGTGCAGTGGTGTTGAATATCGTGAGTTCCAAATTTCTCTTCAAAGAACCAGTATGCCAGTATGTTCTTTGTTCTCCATTTTAAAGTTTAACTTCTTCATTCTCTTTGTCTCCTTGCCCCTAGTTTCAGTAAACAACTTTCCCGCCAGCCCTAATCAGTAGTTCACATCTGTTCCCCTGGTCACCTGCTCTGCCCTAAGTCACCTTTGGTCATCTGTTCTGTAACCATCTTTCCTGCCTAAACTGCTCACCCCACCACCCTGGCTCGTACCCCTGCTCTCTTTAAAATAGCCAATTGGAATTAGCTTAGACTGTGCAGTCCAACCCTAGCCAATAGAGGAATGACACAGCGGTAGGGGTTATCTTTGTCAGGGATAAGAACTCCTTCCCCTCCCTTGTTCAGGTGTGCTCTCTGTTCCATCCATGAGACACATCCTTCTATAGAAGTAAAAATTGCCTTGCTGATAAAATTTATGTTCGAGTACTATTTCTTTTGTGGCACCGAAAAATTTGCTTCTAACAGTGGCACAATCTCAGCTCACTGCAACCTCTGCTTCCCAGGTTCAAGATATTCTCCTGCCTTAGCCTCCTGAGTAGCTGGGATTACAGGTGCCCGCCATCATGTCTGGCTAATTTTTTTGTATATTTTTATACAGACAGGGTTTCACTAAGTTGGCCAGGCTAGTTTCTATCTCCTGACCTCAAGTGATCCTCCTGCCTCAGCCTCCCAAAGTACTGGGATTACAGGTATGAGCCACCACTCCTGGCCATGCCTGGCTACTTTTGTTTATTTCTTTTTGGAGATTGGGGGAATCTCACTGTATTACCTGGGCTGGTCTCAAACTCCTGCTGGACTCAAGCAATCCTCTTGGTTAAGGGCCTACCAAAGTGCTGGGATTACACAGG